CGCTACTTGGAAGGCTGAGGAGGAAGGATCGCTGGAGCCCAGCAGGTCGAGGTTGCAGTGGCCAGGAGCGGCCACTGCACTCCAGTCTGGGCAACAGAGTAAGACTCCAACTCAAAAAAAAAAAAAAAAAAAAAAAAAAAAGATGATTTTTGTGGAAAGAAAGCAGTGAGAAGCTGTGACCAAAACAGCTAAGAGTCTCTCTGCTCCTCAGGCCCTGGGTCAGCCGGGGAGGGCTGGGCTGCAGGTCGGGACTCACAGAAGCTGAAGCTGGTCCTGCCTCCGTATGAGAGCATTCTTCTTGTTGACCAGGGTGAACCACTCCTGGATCAGAACCTCCTCCTGCAGTTTGTTGGCACCTGAATCGGGCAGGGACAGTCACCAGGCCTGCCTCCTGACCCCGGTGTTGGGGGAGGGGCCTGGCCCCCCTGGGGCATCCCAGAAGCCAGGGCCTCAGTGTGCCCCGCTGTAAAGTGGGGATGCCGATCCCAGCAGTGCCTCTTCCCGGCTCCTCCCAGGGGCAAGAAGAGCTGCAGGGCTGAGCAGGTCTAGCAGCAAGTGTTGGGGAGGGGACCCCAGATGCCTGGCCCACCTGACTCCATGAGGCCTCTCAGCTGGGTCTCCACCTCGGCCGCCCGCCCGTCTATCTGCCGCTGTTCCTGCTCCAGGGCCTGCAGCTCGGCACACACATACTGACTTGTGTCCTGGAACCGTTGCTAGGGGCAGAAAGGGGGACAGAGGACAGGGTGGGCTCAGCCCAGGCCCCGCCTAGGAAGCACCCACCCATCAGCTCTTCCCACCAGCCCTGCTTACCAGCCCAGCCTCCTCCCCTGGGCTTGGGGGCGGCTCCTCGGCGGGGGGACTCCCACCTGCAAACAGAAACCAGGCTCAGGTGTCCCCAATGGCCACCTCCCCAGGAAGTCCCAGCCCAGGATTATGTGAGCAACCAGAGCTGACCTGCTACCACTGCTCACCTGGGGGGCTGTTGAGAGGCTGCAGCTGTGGCTGGGCCAGGGGCAGGGCTGGGGCCAGGGGCAGGGCTGGGGCCAGCGCCCGGGCCTTCCTGCGGAGGAAGGGGCCTATGAGGGCTGCGCAGGGTTCCCCAACAGCCCTGGCCTGGGGCCAGCCAGGGCCTCCCACACACAGAAGAGAGGAGCTGCTTGCCCCAGCTGCTTCTCCAGTCTGCGTGCACAGAACCACCAGCCCCACCTCCTTCCAGGAAAAATGCCTCCTCAAGCAAAGGCCCTGGTCTTAGCCCTCTTTGACCCTGAGATCTGGGTCCATCCACACCCCTCTGAGTCTTCCTTCCCGGGGCTGGGCTGGTAACTCTGGCCTCACAGGGTGAGTTGGGGGTGAAGGCTCTCCTTCCGCCTCTCAGACCCTCCTCCGTGGAGCTCCCTCGGGCCACCTGACTCCTGCCACCTTGTACTGACATCTCCATCACGGCCAGGACCTTCTGTGATGCTGACCTGACCTAGACCATGACCATCCTGAGTCAGCACCTCCACCTCCCGGCCAGAAGGGGGCGCCCTCTTGCCATGTCAGTTTCCACACTTGGCGGCTCATCTAACAGGAAAAAGACAGGTGGGCGGGCTTCGGAAGTTTAGCTGGAAGGGCAGGGCTGGCCCCTCCATGTGCCTCGTCTCTGGTGACTTGCTGGGACTGTCATCCCCCGGGGCCCCCAACTTTCAGTTCAGCTGACAGCCTGGGTCTCCCTGATGTCTCCTGCTCTCCTCTTGCTCTGGGTCGGGCCCAGAAGATGCACTTGGGGTCCACTGATTCATAATAATAGCTAATAAGCCAGGCGTGGTGGCTCACGTCTGTAATTCCAGTATTTTGGGAGGCGGAAGTGAGACGACTACCTGGGCCTGGGGATTTGAGACCAACCTGGGCAACTTGGCAAGATCTCATCTCTACATTATTATAATTTGAGTCTGGGTCGCATAGTAGGGAGAAGTCACCCCACTGTCCACTCCAACCTGCACCTCTCTGAGAGGCAGCCCAGGACATCACGGGTTCAGATTCCCCCCTCTCTGGCCTGGGGCACCCCCATGCCCTGCCTGACTCTAGTCTCAAGCCACAACCGAGATGTCTTCCTTCGACCTTCACGGATGGTGAAACTCGCTCACACCTCAGCCCCCAGCCTCACTGGCGAGGCCTGTTGCCCGCTCCAGCCTCAACTGTTTTACCACCCTAAGCCCCACCTAGATGCCAGCCTCTGGCCACAGTGACTGACTTTCAGTTCCTGAAATAGCTTCCCCAGCCCGGGGTGGGCCTCCATCTTGGACTGCCTGATACCAGCTCAACCTTCCTGTCCCAGCTCAGCCCCCCTCCTCCAGAGGCCCCTTGGGCCCCCACACTCTTTCTGCCTCACCCTCCCCCAATCCTGCACGTGACTTTCACGCCTTCCAGAGTATTCCCTGATCCCCAGGCTGGGTAGATGCCTCCCCCATCACAGCTCCAAGCCCCCACCCACCCAGTCATGACCGTGGTTTTGCATGTCTCCCTGACTTGAGGAAGCCCTTTCAAATAGGGCTGGGCCCAGAAAATGCATTTGGGGCCCACTGATTCATAATAATAGCTAATAAGCCAGGCATGGTGGCTCATGCCTGTGATTCCAACACTTTGGGAGGCGGAAGTGAGAGGACTGCCTGAGCCCAGGGATTTGAGACTAACCTGGGCAGCTTGGCGAGATCTCATCTCCACAATAAATTCAAAAAATTAGCCGGGCGTGGTGGCACATGCTTGTAGTTCTAGCTACTTGGAAGGCTGAGGTGGAAGGATCGCCTGCCCAGCAGGTCAAAGCTGCAGCTGCCGTGAGACTCCAATTCAAATTATAATAATAGTAATAATGACTATAATCCCAGCACTTTGGGAGGCCAAGGTGAGCGAATTGCCTGAGCCCATGGGTTTTAAAACAGCCTGGGCAACTTGGTGAGACTACATCTCTACAATAAATAAAAAATTAGCCAGGTGTGGTATCGAGAGCCTATAGTTCCGGCTACTTGGAAGGCTGAGGTGGAAGGATTGCCGGAGCCCAGCAGGTCGACACTGGGGTGGCATGAGCCTGCCACTGCACTCTAGCTGGGGTGACGGGGTGAGACTCCAACTCAAAAAATAAAAAATAAAAATAAAATAATAATATTAGGCCAGGCACAGTGGCTCAAGCCTGTAATCCCAGCATTTTGGGAGGCTGAGGCAAGAGGATTGTCTGAGCTCAGGGGTTCAAGACCTGCCTGGGCAACTTGGTGAGACCTGTTCTCTACAATAAACTAAAAAATGGGCTGGGTGTGATAGTGCTCGCCTGTAGTTCCAGTTACTTGGGAGGCTGAGGCGGAAGGATCGCCTAAGCCCAACAGGTCAAGGCTGAGGTGACCATGAGCATGCCAATGCCCTCCAGCCTGGGTGACAGAGTGAGACTCCAACTCAAAAAATAATACTAATAAATAATAATAATAATAACGACTAATATCTAGTAGGTATGCATGTGCCAGTTCCCTTTTTTAGACAGCAAGGTGCCCTGATGCACCTTGCAAAGGGCTTTCATGCATACTGCAAAGAGTTGACAAGGGGTCACAGACCGCTCAGCTGATGGCAGGCAGAGGCAGGAGAGGGGAGAAACCCACCCTCGGCAGAAGCTTCCTCATGCCAGCCCTGATGGGAATTCCAGTGCTTCTTCAAATCTTTCTTCAATTCCTCTTTCTTTTCCTTTTTTTTTTTTTTTTTTTTT